TTTAATCTTATGATCCATATCAAAGTTACATGTATTTTATACAATTGAATGTCTTTTACAAAACCTTTCTGGGGGACACCCCTTGTACCCTGGGAGAGACCCCCTGTACCCCCTAGCAGAAGGGGGGCTCCACCCTCCTACCCCACCTACCTCCCCGCAAATCACAATGCTCGTCGCTTTGCGCCTAGTAAGAGTCCTTCGGCAGGACTAGTCGAATCTTGGAAGGACTAGTACATTTTTTCTTTTACTAGTCCTGTGGACTAGTGAACTAAAATGGTTAGTGTCTAACCCTGGTTATGTACAAGGGTCATAAAGTAGACATCCAATTTAGGCAATAAGAAGATAGCAGCATGGTATACCTGAGGGTGATTCAAAAGTGATGCAAAATGGTTGAATCACAATAAAACAACACTACGATGATTGTAAGAATGCTGACGTGTTATACAAACATCACTACATAGTCACATTTGTAACATTCTTATTCTTAAATGACTGCTGTTATCCATTTAGAGTTACTTAAAAATAATTCAAGAATAACTACCAGTACGTGTTCCTTGGTTAGGTTACGCGTTAATCGGCCAACACGAAGCTTTGCAGATCTCGGTGGTGAGGGAGTTCGTCTTCTAACTGGTTCCTCTTTTGCTGGCTTCTCTACTAGATGCAAGGAAGGTTTTTCTGTTAGTCTGTAAATTCCACACACGTAATCAACTGCCATTTTTAATTTTCAACAACACACTGCTTCCCACCAAAGACTCATCTTCTCTTAACCTATCACTTCTTTCCTTGCTATCACACCTCCCATCCTACAACCCTCTGACACCCCCTCGCCTTCCCTCTCACACCTCCTCTTGTCCCCATCTCACGCACCTCCCCATCTGCTATCTCTTCTCCCATTCTTATCACTCGTCTCAATCAATCACTCCTCACATCCTGTTGCACCTCCCCATTGGTCACCCTCCTTCCCTTCCCTCTCCCCATCGTCAGTGGCCACTGGGGTAAAGGTACTGTAACGACCCCTACCTTTCAGCGGACTGCGGCGTGCGGGCCGCTCCCTGCGGCGGTTCTCGCGTCCACGTGAGGGCGAGCGTGAGCTGTGGCTGCTGGAGCTGCTGGAGCGTGAGCTTCCCGAGCTGCTGCTACCGGACGATGAGCTACTGCTCGAGTCAGTACTGCAAACAGATGATGCACAGCAGTGGTCAAAATTAATTTTTGAACAAGGGAGTCCAACGGACTCCCTGCCCTCAAAAAGAGGGAGTCTGCAGTCTGAAGTTCAAAACTAAAGATATTAACAATAACGCGTGTGCTTATTTTGAAGATTCATGCGGTTGCACATCAGTTAAATTGTCTTTGGACATTTGCTGAAAAAATACGGCAAATCCGCGAGGCCGTGCTCTGGAACAAACTAGTTAGTATAGCAGAATTTTCAGGGAGTCACACGAACTCCTGCATATGTCAAATCAGGGAGTCCGACAGAAAATCAGGGAGTATTTGACTCCGGACTCGCGTTTTTTTCGCACCCTGCACAGTTATGATAGCTACTCCAACGACAGGGGCAAGACCAAGGTTCATACACCTATGGCTAAACACGTCTCAGCTTTTCTGGGACGTAAAAGGTCCATTTGCTATGACCGCGAGATTTCAGAGGAATATGATCGCCGTGACTGACTTGCATCGTCGAATCAATGATTCGTGAACTACCTCTGCCCAGTGAAAATCTTCCACTCCGCCTCAAGCCGAGCAACATCAAGGTTGGTCATTGCCAAAGTGTGTCAAGTCCTCTCTGATATTTTAACGTTCGTATTACTGGAGATGGGCCCACCATTCTAGTATACGTGGTAATCTATAAAGCATTGTGGGATTCATAATTGGCAATGTTAAGAACCAGAGTTTATACCATGAGAAAATTTACTCCCCTGGCTGGGGTTTTAACTCACGGCTCTCGCAGTGAAAGGCGTACATTGTAACCACTGGACCACCACAGCCATTATGTAAAATAAATCGACTTGTACTATTCCATGTTAGACGAACTAAAATCACCAGTGAAGCAATCACGTATTCTAAATGCAAAATTACCTGGACGATGAGCGAGAGTGACTCTTTGATTTGGAGCCTGAGCTGTTACTAGAGGAACGACTACTCCGCCCTCTCTTCGTCCTCTTCTCTTTGGGTTTGCTTGAACTCTTGGCACCTTTATCCTTGCTGTCCTTTTTGCCCTTCTCCTCACCTTCACTTCTTGCCATGGCAGCACGATTTCTCAAGTTAATGCTGAAATGCGCAAAGTCGCTTGTAAGTGATTATGCACATCACATACAATCATCATGCAGTCATGCGAAATTGAACAAAAATTATAATGTAAAAAGCAATTTAAATATAGCACATGTAAATTACACTAATGTTGACCTACAATTAACACAAAGTTACACAACACATGCAATTTAAACTTTTATTGTATGCTGAAAAATTCAGTACTACTGGATTCAGGAATAAATATATAGGTTATCCAGGAAAGGTTAAGTTTGGAATTTGAATCAGTTAGTAGATTGCTGAGTAATGATAAACTATTTCTTTAATTGGAAAAGACAGAAATAATTCTGTTGGTTCCAAGAAAAATGTAGTCAAATCAGAAACTTACAAGGTCACATGCAAATATTGCATTGAAATAAAAATCTTGCACAAATATTTTGGAACAGACTTAGAATTAAGTATGGGTGAGGAGATTTTACAAATAGTAGTTCAATATCTCTTTGACTATCTTTTTAGTGTTTGGCACAGTTGACTCTCAGAGAACACAAGATATCATATTATTATTAGTTAAAAGTGTGTCAAAATAAAGGCATTATGTGTGTTCTACATTTGGGGCTTAGGGACCACATAGGTGCTGGGGAGTTGATGTATTACATGTATATTAGGCTCAAGCTGAGTACAGAGTAATCCAACCAAAGATAAAAGTAGGGTTATAAAATTCTTCATTATCTTAGCTTCGAGTACACGGCGGATAGATTCACAACAACTTATGAAATCCATAGTTTCAAAACTAGGGTTGGTGAAACACCAAATCTTCAAACCGAGAATCGGGAATAGATAGGAAACATTCATCTGTACTTCAATTGAAGCTTAGAAGTTAGAACTCCTTACTACTACACATTAGAAAGTACAAAGTTCATCTAATCGAAGCAGGTTGAAACGATAGAAGACAATGAATTTTTATATTACTATTTACTAGTGCACTTGATTGCATCTAACAATGTTGGCTCTATGTGGGTTGTTAACAATTTATGTAATGTACATGTTCAAGGTAACATATATACATGTACACATGCTTGTACTACAATGTAAATCAGTGTGCCAAAAATAATATTTGTGTTTCAATCTTTAGTAATTATCTAGCTGCATGCGCTTGCTACGTATTCGTAATATATGCCTGATAATTATCTGAACAAAAAGCAATCAATCAATCAATGAAATATATTTTAATAACAATCTATATGATCTTTTAAAAATGCACATGAACTGACATTTTAAGATACAAGCAATGTACGAAACTGAGCTCATACTGGTAGTGTGTGGAATGAAGTGCAAGACCTCATCAAAAACTGTGATGCTCTGAGGAATGGGTTATTAATACAATGCTAACTAGTGTTGTACTGCAAATTAGTGCTATTTGTACTACGTAGGTTGTCGGCCTTATGTGACAATGTATGGTTACGGTATTTTGTATTGCCTATATACATAACATAGTATTGAGAGCTACATTTTCATAATAACAACCGTTTTTGTTGAGTTATCTCAGTGAGAATTTATTTTTATTTTTATTTATTTAGGCAATTATCCATCATATAATATAAAATTCTGAATTCATAAAATTGGATAACTACCAAGGATATATACACAAAAAGCATGACTAGCACACTTATTTACATTGTGGTCCTTGTTTTGCTATGCCTTGAATCTAACAATTACACTACTATCAGCACTAACTATTGAAATATACATATTTGTAGTTTTAACCGATCATACAATGGTACATTCTCATAAGACGATACAAACTTTTCTTATGCCTAATTTCAACCGAATTCTTTCAGCGAAAATCATACTCCTCTTCCTCTAATGTTTCTACCTTTTCCATCAGACATTTCTTAACACTATACAGGGTTCAACATTAACTTTTTATTTCACTAGATCATCGGGATAGTAACTGAGGAAAACCACTAGCCCTGACCTAACTTTCACTAGCCCAGACCCAGACCATTGTTATGAAAAACTTTATTTAGATAACAGTGTGTCATCGTATGAATTCATAGATGCTGTTTCCCACGCTTTAAATCGCGCGTGGGCCAAGTTCCGTGCAGCATTCGTATTCTACCACGGGCATACACGAGCACGGTTTATCGATTGTCTACTGCGGCTGGCAGCAAGCCACGTTATTGTTTTTGCCGAAGGGTAGACTGGTATCCGGCCTCACTCTCTGCTAGACAATGTACACGCTCTGCGACAAACAGTGCGGCCGCGAACCAGTCTAGCCAGAGGTGACCTTTCAGTGCAATATATATGACCAATTCTAACACGACCAGTCGAGCTACTAGCACTCTGGTTGTATGCGACCGAACCAAGCATTTATCCGACTAGGTCGGTCGGACGTGGGTTAGTGTCGAACCTTGCTATACTTAAAACTAGAATAAACAGAATTTGTCCTAACTTGCTGTGGTAGATAGTTCCAAGCTTCAATTGCAGTATAAGTAAAACTAGAGTTCTTCCCACTGCTTCCCACCCTCGGTTTAAAAATAGACATATCACCTTCCCTTGTATTGAAACTATGGACTTCTGACGTTAACATGAAACCTTCTGTAATATACTGTGGGCTGAGATTATGTAATATTTTAAAAACCCTATTGACCTTCAGTTGCATTACCCTGAACTCTACAGGTACCCAATTTACAGCCTTGAACTCTCTAGCACCTATGTGTGCTCTAGTACCTAGGTTGAGAACACATCTAATGGCTTTATTTTGACACACTTGCAGCTTAGTCCTTGTGCGCTTTGTGAGACTGCTGTACCATATATACTGCTTGCATAGTCAAAATGACATTGAATTAGGGCAGAAACTAGTAATCTTTTACATGCTGTGTTTAAATACTTAGCTTTTCTGGAAAGAAATTTCAATCTATTGTTAACCTTTTTTACAACCTTAATTCCCGTTACCTCACCACTCATGGAGTCTTCGAAGTCTATTCCTAGATACTTAACTGTATTTTTATGTGCAATTGCCACCCCATTACATATGATGTACATCTTTGGATTATCCCTGAGTTTGTGTTTAGTTCCAAAAATAATACTTTCTGTTTTTCCAAGATGCAAGGATAAATTGTTATCATTGAGCCATTTATTAATGGAATGCAATTCTCTACTTAATTCTTTCTGTATAGCCTGTACCTCTGTCCCTGAAACTACAAAGGCCGAATCATCAGCATATAATAAAAGCTTGACGTTAACTGCCTTTGCCATGTCATTAACATAAATCAGAAATAACAGAGGACCCAAAATCGAGCCTTATGGTACTCCACATGCAATAGCCTTATTAGAAAAGGTACCTCCTACATTAGCCACAAGTTCCCTTCTCGCTTAACACTACGTTGGTTGTTAGTTAAGCTGAGAGGGTCTATGTCCCCCGGGGTACGGCCGGAACGTACCCTGGGTACGGTCCGGTATACCAGTATCGCCTACGGCTACTCCCTAACCCTAACCCTAATCCTAACCCTAACCATATCAAATAGTGATCAGGGTACGTTCCGGCAGTACCCTGGGGGACATAGACTCTATGAGCGTTAGTCAACGCGTTCCTACAACGTGTAACAGTCAGAGAGCCTGGTCACAAGCACTTGGAACGACTCAATAAAAAAAAATAATGGTAAATAAACACGAAATGTACCAGTCTTAATGTTTCTCTACTCTATTTCGCCTATAATCACCTGTAAATGCCGGTCAAATGCTCATCTGCAACACACAAGTACACCGAACGCCCGCCCACGAATAAGAGAGCAGGTAGGAAAGCGGGATCGCGAAATTTGCTCAACGCTCGCTTCATTTCTCACGATCACAGCACAAATACACATCCAACCGCTTCCATCTTGGTATCTATGTGTACATAAATGTTGATTTGTTCAAATTATAACGCTCCCTTTTGTCCTTACCTACTCCCGCCAGAGATATCTCGTGAAATCCTGCAGGAAATGTTCTCTCCGTGAAAATGTAAAGAGGACGAGATGACTGTTTATACACGAGTAATGGGGCGCATTGCATGCCGGGATGAGCTGCTGCCGGCCTCCGAGCTCCGTTTCGAGGACGCCAAGCCAAGCACAATGCGCGCGGGCATGACGTCCCGCACACACGACTACAGCGATCGATCAAAAGTAGCGCCGTTAGGGGTTTTCAGATCATGTCGTCCTCTTTACATTTTCACGGAGAGAACATTTCCTGCAGGATTTCACGAGATATCTCTGGCAGAAGTAGGTAAGGACAAAGGGCAGAGTTATAATTCGAACAAGTGAACATTTATGTACACATAGATACCAAGATGGAAGCGGTTGGATGTGTATTTGTGCTGTGATCGTGAGAAATGAAGCGAGCGTTGAGCGAATTTCGCGATCGCGCTTTCCTACCTCAACCTGCTCTCTTATTCATGTTGTTTGTGCACGCAGCACAGCGCGGGCGGGCGTTCGGTGTACTTGTGTGTTGCAGATGAGCATTTGACCGGCATTTACAGGCGATTATAGGCGAAATAGAGTAGAGAAACATTAAGACTTTGGTACATTGCGTGTTTATTTACCTTCTTTTTTTTTGGAGACGTTCCAAGTGCCTGTGAACCTGGTCGGTTTACTCCTACATCAGTTATTTGGCTTCTACCAGAAAGATAAGCACCGACCCATTTCCCAGTCCTAATACTAATAGTAATATCCATTCCGATAGTTTTTAGCTACTGCTAGTACTAGTACTAGTAGTAGTAGTAGGCCTAGTAGTACTACTTTTAGTAGGTCGGGAACGTATACGGAAATAAACGAGGACTGGTGAAATGGTGCAATTGGCATATGCTTCGCCAGTGGCAGTATTACTACTACTCAGTACTACTCTATAGTACGCCATATATCTTGACTATACACTATTACTTACCCGCATATATTGATGCTGACTTGCTTTAAACAAATATTGACTAAATTGTGCCTGGACTGTAGGTTATAAGTCTTATAAATTGCTCGTTGCCAAGCTAGGTAACAAACAACATTAATAAACTAGGAATCCTACCAACTTTTGTGTTAACCGCTCACTTGTTATTGTCACAACGATTGAGCATGTGATTCGTCGTAAAAAAAAAAAAAGTATGAAATGTAAAACACTTTTACAAAAAAATAAATCTCAACGATATCAGGAATAAGGCTTGTATATTAACTATGTAGAAATATTTACGAAGTTTTTATAGCCGCTATAGATCTTGTAATAATCGTTTTATAGTGTTTTGTATCACTGTCACTGACAGCATATGCTGACAGTGACTATCCTATCACTAGTCACGCCTGGTATCTGCCACAAGTCTAACAACATGAATCCTCTTATTTATGTAGCAGCTGCTGTTGTAGTACTTATTGTAATTATTATAGTTTCAAGGATAATATCAAGATCATCAAATAGTATGTAGATAAATATCATTATACTTTTAACGCGTACATGCTACGTAAAATATATTGGTTACAACTTTGTCACCTGTGTGTATCCGAGGTCTAGCTCTAGACTCTAGTACAGCCACAGGCCTGAGTCACTGAGTTATTGCGTGTGTAACTAACGCTGCCAGGGTCTATGTCACAGGGACTTGGGACTGAGTCAGTAAAAACTGAAAATAATATGAACGAACATTCACAAACACTACCGGTACGTACCGTACCTCTCAATTACAGTTCTATATTGTTGTGTCACTGTATATCTACTTTCCTTCATAAAAACTAACGCCGAACGCTTCCGGAGTCCCGCACTCGCCGCTGCGAGTGTGCTGTTTCGCCATGATAATAATATATAAAGTTTATATATTATTATCATGACGACGTGCAGCACACTCGCAGCGGCGAGTGCGGGAGCGTTCGGCGTTAGTTTTTTTGAAGGAAAGTTGATATACAGTGACACAACAGTGGAACTGTAATTGAGACGTACCGGTTACAGTAGCTAAGTATCTGTGAATGTGCATTCATATTATTTTCAGTTTTTATTGACTGTTCTAAGTGCCTGTGGTCTATGTCTCCCTGGGTACTGCCGGAACGTACCCTGGGTACGGTCCGGTATACCGGAACGTACCCTGGTACTATCTGATATGCCGGACCGTACCTCGCCTACTCCACTAACGAGTCTAGGGAGTCGCCTACGCCTACTACCTAACCTTAACCCTAACCCTAACCCTAACCATATCAGATAGTTACCAGGGTACGTTCCGGTATACCGGACCGTACCCAGGGTATATTCCGGAGGTACCCAAGGAGACATAGACCTTATCTGCGTAACTAATGCACAAAAGGTCGTTTTCGTATAATGGTGTATAATATCAAGAGCAGATAAAGAAGGAGAGCGTACAAGGGTAAAATGCTGAAACCATGCTGCAGTATTAGTCGAATTAATAAACTTTTCCCGTTTTATTTTGACGATCCTTTGCAGTATTATTGATTAGCTGTCTTACCTTGTTCATATCAAACAAACCGCATGTCCCTACGATGCCCCTACGCTGAGATAATGAGCGGTGGAAATCTGGTATTTTCGCCGAAACCCGACTCGAGATCAGTGTGAACTGCGTCCCTCTCCCGAAGTGTTATAACTTCGGGAAACCTCGCGTGTCCCGAATGACGTCTGTTATTGATTGCCATAGTGATGACCCCCACCTGTGCCCACCTCACGCCCACCTCACGCTGGATGTATAGTAAACTCTGGTAGTATTACGTGAGTCAGCGCCACTATGGCGCTACACAGCGGCGACCGGAAGCAACACACTGGAAACACTTCGAGAGACAGTCGCAGTTCACACTGATCTCGAGTCTGGTTTCGGCGAAAATACCAGATTTTCACCGCTCATTATCTCAGCGTAGGGGCATCGTAGGGACATGCGGTTTGTTTGATATGAACAAGGTAAGACAGCTAATCAATAATACTGCAAAGGATCGTCAAAATAAAATGGGAAAAGTTTATTAATTCGACTAATACTGCAGCATGGTTTCAGCATTTTACCCTTGTACGCTCTCCTTCTTTATCTGCTCTTGATAATATGTACCCGAGGTAACTATTTGATATGGTTAGGGTTAGGGTTAGGGAGTAGGCGTAGTTGACATACTCGCCGACACCTCGGGTACTACATATACGACAACGATCCCTTCAGCGTAACTAACCGTGTCGTGGTAACGAACGGCTGGCTGCCGCTGCACACTGACACATAAATATATAGTCTATATATATATATTTATGTGTCAGTGTGCAGCGGCAGCCATGGCGGCAGCCAGCCTTTGTTGCAGATGAGCATTTGGACGGCATTTACAGGAAATTGTCGGCCATAATAGGTGAAAGAGAATATAGAAACATTAAGACTTTGGTAGTAAATAAATTTCGAATTTATTTAGCATTATATTTTATTGAAACACTCCAAGTGCCTGTGGGTTGGTGCCCCAGTGAAATTCACTGCTATTTTGAAGCACTGTGAGTCGTTTAGTCCTGTAGTGGGAACAAAGAACTACATGGGTAGAGCTAAGGAGGACCTTCCTTGACTAGAGTACTGAGGATACATCATACACATAATACAACATTATGCATGATATTGTTTTAATGACAGTGATACAGCGGTATATGCATGTTGACTTTTTATAAGGTATGATTCTATGAATAACTTCTACATTGTCTTCGGTCTTGTCACTATAGAAGAGGCAGCTGTGCCACGACAGCGAGTCCTACCTGCACAAAGAAATGAAGCCGTTCCTCCAGCTGCTCGTCGTAGACGTAATGTGAGAGGTCGCCTGCACGATGGCCGACAGGAAGATGGTAAACTATGTAAAACTGAAGATCCTATTTAATTACATTAGGTTTACATTGCCTTGCCATCTACACTGCTGTGCGTTTGAGTGAGCGAGGTAATGCAAATTCCCCCTTTCACCATCGTATGATTGAAAATTGTGAACATAACAATTTAACAACCATTCCTTATTGTACATTATTATCGTGACCTGCTGTAGAGCCCCCATCCTAGTTGGTCAGGTGAGACACATTTGTTGTAGACACGGTACACGTTCACTTGTTTTGCAGCATCGGATGAAGACGGATTCGATTTAGACGGTGCTGAGCAGGAGGATGACGACTATCTCGCATACGCCGGCGCCACCGATGGCAAGATCGGTGCAAAGAAGCGTGCGAAGCTGGAAGCCAAGGCCGACCGGGCGAAGCAGAGAGAGGTGCGAGTTATCTTCCCTGTATTAGTCTGCCTCGCGGGGATGCATCTGTCACAGCAATGATTCAGTTTGTCCCGAGGTCGGCTTATACAATTGACAGGCAAATGCCTCACATGCATTCCGGCATGTATCTCGTGTAAAACACTAAGTCACATATACTTGCGCTTCAAATCCAGCTGAAATTTAGTGATTACGCAATATGGCACAGTATTCTAAGCGGGCAGTGATTCGGTGATATGATTTGACCAACTGCATATGATAATATTATTTTAAGTTTTTTTTAACCGTTTTTGTTGGATTCTACGTCTGTTCAGGTCATCATGCTAGCCTAGCACACACCCTTCATATAATCATTGTTGAACTATAAACAAAATTTCTGATAAACACTGGAGACTCATCAAGATATGCTTTCAAAACTGACTTAATGGCAATATTTTGGGGGTATTTAGAGGTTTAGAACCACAGCTTCAAAGTATTAGCTGCAGTACAGGCCTCAGCAAATTTGTTATTCTGGTATCAGATTGTAAGTAGTTGTTTGTGATTACTTGGCAGGCCGAGCTAGAGGACAGGGAGGAAAAGAAACGCCAGCAAGAGGTACAGGAGGAAAAGCGCAAGCGTGGGGAAGCAAGAAGGAAGCTGGAGGAAGAAGAAGCAGTAAGTGGGTCGGCTCATTACCCGTGATCGTTTGTTATCTGTTACTACTCCAGATCCCAAGCACTCACATGGCTAACACTAGCCCTGGTCTACACACTGACATTGTCATCTGTTACTATGCAAGCAAAACATCCAGTATTTAAATATATGTTAAGTTAGACATGTGCTGAGGCTTATATACCTGTCTTTAATGCCACTGAATTTCATATGCCAGAATTGCCCGTACATGCATTCATATGGAAACATCATAAAACATTTAATTGGACATTACACTGTCTTAATTTACACTCTGTTGTTGTTAGAATGTCCATACTGATAATATGAGCAAAAATGTAGACAGGGTCTAAAGTTGTCTTCCAGCATGTTCAGGGAGGGGGTCCTTTTTCTGACCATGAGTTTCCTTATCCCTGTTAAACAGGAGGAGCAGGCGCGCATCGAGAGGGAGGAGCAGGAGAAGAAAGAGCACGAGGATTACCTCGCTATGAAGGAGTGCTTCACGGTGGACACGGAAGGCTTTGACGAGCAAGCGCCTGATCTAGAGTCTCAGTCATTGCTCGAGGAGTTTGTAAACTACATTCGAAGGATGAAGGTTAGTACCGCTGTATCAGAGTCCATCACAGCCCAGCCCTGAGTCACCCAGCCTAACCCAGCCTAGGTTGTGTTACAATCTCCACCCTAAACACACCTACTTGTGATAATGGAGATGATAATACGTGAGTGCACATATAGGCTATACGCCTGACACGGGTGGCCTGGGCTAGTATAGGGTATGGTTCCTTAAGTTCTTCTTGAAATTCGAGTTGAAGCTTCAAAAGTATTTGATACTCGCCCACTGTAGTAGTAAAACCATCCAGACACGATAGAAAAGAGAGACCACTGGATTCACCTTCTCATCTCTATCCAGCTGCAGTATCTATTATCAGAAATCCTATCTTCCTATCTTCTTAATCTTCATTCAGTAATTGATGAAGATATTACAGCATACGTTTTCATGTTCACCCCAACAAGGACGTGCAAGGCTCCTGATGTGTATAAGGATCGACAGATTCCCTGTCTTGCCTATATGTGACTAATATGGATGTCATATTTTACGTCTACATTACAGGTGGTTCAGTTAGAGGACTTGGCTGCTGAATTCAGACTGAAGTCACAGGAAGCCATCGATCGTGTGCAGGCGCTGCTGGACAGTGGCGACCTCACAGGGGTTATTGACGATCGCGGCAAGTTCATCTACATCTCTGAGGAGGAACTTCAAGCAGTTGCCAAATTCATCCACCAGAGGGGGCGAGTGTCGATTGCGGAGTTGGCCAAATCCAGCAATAAGTTGATTAATTTGGTTCCCGAGATAGATTCCATGCAAGCTAGTTCGTAACAAATTTACAGGGTATGCAGATCACATAGACTTGGGTCAGGTGAAGATTTAATTGACAGGTATTTTTTCTATTATTCATGGTTTTGTGTAATCTGGTTTAATGTATTCTCCCATGTATGTCCACAGGTCCCTATTATCCAACACGAACCCCCAATGCGAGCACCGAAGGTGTGAGAAGGTAGGACGCACAATTTCACGACTTTATCAAATCGGACCTTTTTTAGAAAAAAATGTAAATGTTTTAATTAAAATACATGGGCATACACGTTCTTAGTTTGTATTGTTGTCTCCGGCGTCTTTGGTTGAACTGTCAATCATGTTCTACAGCGTATATAGCATATATTCCATATTTGTGAGAAATTAACAGTTACCACACGTAAAAAAAATGGCTGCCTTTAATTTTATTCAATCAGGTGGCGGCATTACATTCAGCTCGAAATCGTCGCGAAATATGTCATCACTATGACTGCCATTGAACGTGTGGGAAATGTTAATTTTTTACTGGCAACGGATTTTACTCTCCTAACGCTGTCAAATATCATCGACAGTGAAAACATATACAGGGGAGGTTAGTACAACAAAGTAGTAATACGGGTATGTGCATATTTTTATTGAGAATCAAAAACTTTCATTGATATCGGACATTCGTGAAATTGTGCGTCCTACCTTCTCACACCTTCGGTGCTCGCATTGGGGGTTCGTGTTGGATAATAGGGACCTGTGTATATGTCTACCTACTGCAAACAGAGACTACACTTAAATTACCGGTACAACTAAACCGACCAGGCTCTCCGACTGTTACACGGCGTAGTACACCTCTCGCAAATGTAGTGTTAAGCGAGAAGGGAACTTGTGGCTACGGTACAACATGTCAGATACTACAGAAATGTCAATTACACATTGTGTAAAATTATACTCATTTGAATTATTGTTATTTGTATATACCCATTTGTTATGTCAACATTGGTGCAAAATAAATATTATTCTAATACATGAAATTACTAGGATTCCTCATCAATCAAAGTATTATATATATTATAGGCATTATTACTAGTAGTAGTATTAGCTCTTGATATTATTATGCTTTATCTTTTTACTAGTTGATATTATCTACTAGTTGATATTATCTTCCTACAAGTAGGCCTACGTTACACTCCTTTGCTAATATTCCCTTCATGACACTCTTTCTCTCTTACTATTGATATTGAAATTTCCTCTTCCTTATATTTGCCTATTTGACCCCAAGCACTGTGTCAATTTGCTAGTCATGGTTCTTTTCCAACTCGGATTCTACTACATGTGTACATGTGCATGCAAAGCTGTGGCAGAGTGCCCTGTAATATAAAGATGCATGTCTATTATGTGTATCGTTGTGTCTTTTTGTAACGTATTCTTAAAGTGATAAACTCACTTATTAATCATATGAATATAACATGGTAAAATAGTAAAAACGGAATAGTCTGCATTGTGAATGTATGGAGTCCCAGACAGTATAAATGCTCAACTATAACAAACAAATGAATTTTAGATATATTTTGAAATTTAATGAGCCACCAATTAATATTTCACAATCTACAATTTGCTATAATTTCAGATATAGCGAGGTAACATCCCTGGGAATAAACGATCCTATGTTCAATCTACTGTCTTGTTACTGTCATACAAAAGTATGACAACTATTCGATATTTATCTGCTCCTACCACCAGAGTTTGATGGACTTTATGTAAACATAAGTAGGACTTGTAAACATTATCACATTGTAGCTCTACCAACACGTGAAACTCCTACAACTTGGTGCAAGTGTATTACTTATAACTGGTTATCTGTGCTCTTGGTATTACAAATTGTCATTCAACATACATTTAAATCCGAATCATAAATATGTATATAGTACATTTAGTTAATTTTTACGTAGTACGTTGTAAGCCTACACCTACCCTCACAACACTCACTATATATTGTTTTACCAAATATATAGCGATGGAAACAACACGAAAACAAACAAGTGCTAGTTAAGAAACGACCACTAAATAATAACGTAAAAGGTTCATCATTCCATGCATGGAAAACCCCCAAAAAAACAATGTGCGGCCGCAGTGTACACGAAGTAATGCCGAGAGGGTCTATGTCCCCCAGGGTACTGCCGGAACGTACCCTGGTACCAGAGCATATAAATCAACGTGATTTATATGCTCTGCTGGTACTATCTAATATGCTGGACCGTACCTCGCCTCCTCCACTAACGAGTCTAGTGAGTCGCCTACGCCTACTCCCTAACCCTAACCATATTAGATAGTTACCAGGGTACGTTCCGGTATACCGGACCGTACCCAGGGTACGTTCCGGCAGTACCCTGGGGGACAGAGACCCTATGAGCCATAGTAATTCGTTAGGAATTCCGACCGCTCTGTTGTCTTTACAAGAGCAACTTACAACACGCACACGGTCAGCCTCTCTCAAGTAAAAACCTTCCAAAAATCTATGCTAGCTGCAAACAACTATAAGCCTGCCATAACATCAACATCTATGGAAATAATGCTCTGATACTGTATGAATTTATATATATGATTAATATAATATTACCATCGAGTTGACATTGAAAATTCGTAAACGATGGAAATATTTCTGCTGATGTTCAACTTTTTAATATTAATTATTGCATAATAAACCTGGGGCAAATAAAATGCTATACACTGACACTCATGATACTACTTTTCTTGATAATAAATTTCTATATCAGTATAATCATAAAAACCCTACAATACACATTCACAAGATCAAAATAAATTTTGTGACAAAAAACCCGACCAATATCCGCACTGATATGCTAATCCACACTTTTGATCAATATTTCCACCAATATACAGATCAATGTCTCTTCCAAAAGAAACCAGCCAATAAAAGAACCCCACTCTGCAGTAAAGTGACAGCTGTTAACCTCTAATCATTTTTCAGCAGAATGCTGATGAATTCATTGGACAACAATCAGAAATGTAGTTAAAGTTGCATACTGCATCTGTTTTTGCATCTGTCCCATAACTAGACTGGATGATACAAAGGACAGAGACTATAGCAGCCTTAATCTCCCTACATGGGAAAAATCTCACATTTACACTGCCATGTTCCAACATCCAACGTTTGCGATTTCGGCAATTTGAACATAAAGCCATGAAATGGTGATATCACTGCGCCGACGACATTGTCTGTGACATGTGCAAAGGTGTCACCATGAGGTCAAAGGTCACACCCTTCAGATTGGCTCCTCGCAGATTTGCTTCTTGTAGGTCACAGCCAGATAGATCACAGTTCTGAAATGTAGAATATAGTACACATGCAAAAACGTGCACTTGCAAAATTTGCACATGCATACGTGCACTTTTATTTGCTCTAGTTACACCTGTATTTCAAATTTTACCAACAAAAAGCAAAGGCTGTAACACATAGATCATAAATTACTTCACACATTTATTACATCTGAATTGAACAAAGGTGAATACAAGGGAGGTGGAGTAACCTACGTTTCCAAAGCCAACCTCCCTTTGCCAAACCCACTACCCCAACCATTTAGATGTGTACTGCCACGAACCAACACTAGACATGCTTCTCCGTAACAACAACTACCTCTAGGTCAGCTCCCGCAAGCACAGCTCCCCGCAGGTCACAGTTCTGCAGGTTGGCATTGCGTAGGTTGGCTACTCGTAGGTTCACTCCTACCATCTGACTTCCATCCATCTGCACTCCTTTCATGTTTGCACCTGTGAAGACCATCAGCACAGCTTCAGTTGGTGAGCACGTTCTACATTTGAACGTAATAACTCTGTTTATAAATGCGTTGCATCCTGAAGTCTACGAATCCCGAGGAATTTTCCTCTCACTTATACAGTCTATTCTTCCATATAGAGGCCTTACCTTCCATGTTGGCTCGACTTCCCGCAGGATCTTCAAAGTTACAGCCTTTCAGTGATGCTCCCTCTAGATTTGCACAGAGCATCTTTACGCCAAGAAGATTTGCACCCTGAAACAGCAAACCATTTCTAGTCACATTCAGATGCATACCAACAGCAGAACCCCAAACAGAGTGATAGCAAACCTATATTTGACGAGGTATAGCACAACACACATTTGCTAAAAACCTTTGTTTTCCTTACTCCCTTATCCTCTCCATACATGTCCAAAATGATGGAAGACAGAATATTACCAAAAAATTATTCAGCATCCAAGGGCCCATTGGTAGAAACTAAATTAGTCTAATATTACGTTTTTCTTGTAGGCCGTTTTTTGAAACATGGTAATGTTAAGTTTTTTATACGCAGTGTATAGAGGTCAAGTCAATGCAAAAAACTTAATATTGACTATTATTACATATTAAGGCTAATTTTGTTTCCGAAAACAGGCTTTTGATATTAACTAATGCCAAATTCAACCCTTTCTGCCTTACTCTAACCCCTACGTTGACATAGCCCATCAACACACTATTTGATGCTCTGATGTGCCCATGATTGCCAGACACTTTGCTTGCTAGCTCAGCAGCATCAACATTGCTATCGCAACTCACGTCAAGTTTCGCAGCCTTGAGATCGGCACGTTCCAGAAGGCAGCACGAGAGGTTTGCCTGAGCCAGGTTGGCTCCCTGCAGCACTGAGTATTTGAAGTTGATAAATCGTAGATCAAGCTTTGATAAATCGACCCCTGATAAATTGATGCCCTGCAAATTTGTAATAGTAATAAGTACATATACAATTATATATAAAATTATATCAAGAGCATATTAAGTTATCATACTTAATATGCTCTTGATTATATATAAATATATACATATATACACATTTTTATTTTTATTTATACACATATACCATTTTACCTTTATTAAATGAGATCTGATAATACGTTGAATTTATACCTATTTATACGTATACTCATGTTACGTGTATTTCTATCTGTAAATAAGTGTGTAGCCACCTGAAACCTGAGCTCGGTGTGGGCGGTCGTTGTGATGAGAGCCTCTATGACATCGCGCCGGCTCAGTGGAGCCTGGTCCCGGTCCCTGCGACTCTCCTATAACCACGACAAGGGTGAGAATAATTGCTTAACTGCTCATGGTCATGGGAGTACTCACGCCACATTCAGCAAGATGAGGTGCACAGGTGTAGCTACCTGCACACCTCACGGTGCACATCTCACCATGCTTATTTCACGTATCTTGATTATCTTGGCTTATGCACTACATGTATAAGGAGTTATTTTTGCTTGCCTCAGTGTTTCACACCCAGACTCTATATTATAATAGAGATGAGATCAATCGCAATAGAAATGAGAATGCGGTTCGTTATTCTGTGGTTATCGCAGGGCAGTGCAGTGAACATAGTAGATTGACTAATGGGACTTGCATCTCACCTCCACCAACGATTCCAGCTGCTCAGCTAAGGATTGTAAGCCAAAGAATCTGGCTTCTTCCAGAACACCTGCATGTAAACAAGACCTTGACCATGAAGAACTAAGAGCTTAGACTCCGAGTCAATTTCTATGTAAGTAATTCTTATAGTAGTGATATGTGACATGGTGCAGATATAATGCTTACAACCAAAAACCAGGTCACAACACCATATTTTAAATGGGTTACTAAGGGTTTCTGAAAATTTTCCAACATTTGTGCTAACAACCTAAATTTCTCATGGCTTGAATTCATCGAGCTAGCCACACAATCAGAATTTTACTGGCAACTACGAAAATAACACTTGAGCTAGGTGACAACTTCCAACACTCTTTTTAAATATACTGAACAGAAACTTATTGTCCATTAAATATCGTAGCAGTATGAAGCATTAAGACTGTGTCCCTCACCTACAGGATTCACGCCTGCATCCAATACAATCTGCCCGTGTCGCAAATAATTAAGGATCGGCTCAAAGTGCCTGGGGCTGCGGTCAATCAGGTAAGCGCCAGAAGGGTCGACGCTGTTTCCCCATGTGGTGGCACTCTGATTGGTTGCGAACATGCGAGCGAGCATGGAGCTTGGATCGCTCCTTGTTAACGTGCTTCTGCAAGATAAAAATAGAAGCAAGTGCATTTAAAAGGCTTACATGTTGTATTACAGGTTGGGATTTATTTTAACTTCACTTACTCAATTTCAACTATTTTATCTACCACTGATTTATCCAAAAAAAATTAATTACTTATTTAGCACAGATGTTATTCACAATAAACACTGACTATAGAGAAAGGTCTAAATGACCTTTATAATTTTTTAGATGCAACATTGTCTTGAACATTAACATACACCTACAATTCCATTTAGACTAGAACTGACTGTACAGTCAGGTTCAGTGTTGTCTATACCTCGTTGTGGTAAAGCACTGGCCACCGATGTTTAGTGTTATCCAGTCTGCTGAGCTGGTGGGTCTGAATTTTAGCCGTCCCTTTGCCGGGATACCAGAACATGTTTCGTCTCTTTTACCTTACAAACACATAAAAACATCAGAAACAGGCACAATATTCCTCTGATATATTTCAGAATAGTTCTGAAAGGTAACTAACAGGATCCCGATTACATACACAACAGCGACAATGAGTGAGAATAGTGAACAACAGCCACAAAAGTTCTGTAAAACTTACCACAATCCATAAAGTAGATCTGAAACAGCTATACAATCTATGAAATATCCAGACTATTTTTATACTCGTTATACACAATGAGTACAAAAGTATGCAACACACGTGATGCATTACCATACTATACTCACCAAAGAAAGACTCGCCTTCTGATACAAATATTACCTCATCATCCCTGTAATCATAAAGGCAAACATTATATTGTTATTTTTATACAAACTATATAGCAACTGATAGCTACTATACTTGCACACTTTGATCTTAAATAGTAATACTTTATATAATAGATCAACACAGTCATGCCTAGTAGTTGCTAATTCATTATTCCCATATGTAATAGATCAAACAAGAAAATGACTAGATTCAATATACCTTGTCAATACAAGTTCAATGCCTTGGTAAAGTGTCATTAATGTGTCACAAGTTATTATATTAGTAGCACTGTCACAATGGTGATACCAATGCGCACTGCCTGCCGTAAGTTTTTTTTAGAAAGCTTTACTGAGATCTACTGCTCAAATCCACAGGATGAATAGGATAGACAGACATATATACAGATAGTAACTGGCTTGTTGGGAGGATACTCACTGCCGTTCATCAAACTCACCTGAGCACATCCAAATCCTCAATCAGTCCACCACCAGTGGTATACAACTTGCAAGCTGTTATGCCCAATTTTTCGCTGGCTGTTTCGAAAAGTCTTTCAATGCTGGACGGCACACACACAACCTGATTGTGCAAAAAATATTGCTGGTATCACAGACTAGATAAGCATTTCTGACATATTTCCTATTACAGACTAACTGACACTAGCTAACACAGACATATGCAGTTATGCACACAC